GTAAAGATCAATGTGCAGATTGTTTATTCACCTGTTGAACTCTGTAATTTAAACATATCACACCTTTCACTTTAGTCTCATAGGTAACTAGAAGCAAAAGTCAGTCAGACATCTTGAAAATGTTTTTATTTTCCAAATGACAGATACTTCGTCAACAGTAAAGATTTCTTAAAAAAAGGGGGGGGGGAAAATGAAATGGAGTTTAACGTCCTACTTTTCTACACCAACCAGAGGTTTCCACCTACTTTTTGACCAAGGTTCTTTAACGTGCACGCTAACGTGTACACAGGTCCTTGGTATTTCATTCCATTGTCCCCTGACAAGGGGAAAGCATGCTTGAAAATACCAAGGAACTTTCTCGACGACCAACAATGGAATCAAACCCAGAACTTCCTTACTAACTTGGCCACTGGGGCTCCAAACTTGTTTTTAAAAGAAATATACGTCTTTAATATTAAGAGTACCATTCGATATTCGTGCATATTGGACTGTAAACTTCCTGGATTATAGCCCCGGATTGTACAAAAAATCACATTTTTTTTTAGCTCATTCTCTGTCCATCTCTTGCAAAATGTGGGTGTATCTTGCATGGCAACCGCTTGTTAAATGAAATATACTTCATTAAACATGCATTATGCAAGAGCTAAATCTGCCTATTGCAGGTCTTTCTTTAGGCCTGAAATGTTTTCTAAAGTATTAATTAGACATTAATTAACTGATCCAGGCCTTAATCAACTCTCGATGGCATCAGATTTCTTTGATATTAAATAGATTAGAATGGTTCAGCGATACTTTGATTTAATCAAATATGGAGGACCGAGACTTAGCTTCGATCAACCAGTACGGTGGTTGAAATTATTGCACACGTCTGTCAAACCTTCAAAGGCTAATATCTTTGCTTGCAATAGAGTAATTTGAATGACATTTTCAAATTATTCATTTTACATCATCTACTTTCGAACTATTATAGCAAGAATGGCTAGTTCTTTATCTAAATCTTACATAATGTATCTTTAACACTATGAATACCATTATACTTAATTGGAAAATATAAATGAAACAGGGATAAACGTCCTACTTTTCTGCACTGAAGAGTCAGACATGATTGAGAAGCAATACTGGGAAGGTGAAAAGCCTCATCCCCATAGTTAAGGGCACAGTCTTGCCTTTGGAGATAAAGTATATATGTTGGTCTAGGATATGGTAAAAATAATACATTATGTGATATAAGAACGGAATTGGGGTTTTATGCCCTGGTTATTTTATAAAAAACATACTACTAACATACATGCATGGACCTGTTGAAGTTCTGAGATTTCTAAAATCTTCTTACAATCAGTTTGTCGGACAGAAAGGAATGTATGTTTAATTCTCTTTTATAAATTCAATTTTTAATGATCTCCAGCTGTTCATGTCCATGACTAAATGGTGTTTAGATAAAGGATGACTACTTACAGCTAGAACCATTTACTTCTGTCCAATTAATACAGGAAATCTTCTGATCAATACCTTTAATAATTCTAATATATTCCATTAAGCAGGCATCATGTAAGAACTATTAATTAAACATTTATTAACATGACAAGACCATAATCTGATTGGTCCGATTTTCAACAGATTTGAATCCGATCTGAGGTTCAACAGTTGTTGTGGGGGGTTGGATGGCCGAATGTTTAGCATGCGCGCACTGTATCATGAGGCCTGTCATTGAGTCAACTGGCGTGGTTTCGAATCCCCGGTTGTACGTGACAAGGAGTAGGGTTGCCTGTCCAACCTCGTGGGTTTTCTCCTGGCCCTCCGGTTTCCTCCCACTGCTAAAGACCCCTACGCGCAAGCGAATTATTGAAATAAAATTTAACCATGTTAGTCCCGAAATGACCTAGTCTGTGTCGGGTGGATGTTAAACCCCATTTCTCTCTCTCTCTCTCAACAGCAGTTGTTGATGATTAACTCTGGACTATCAAGACTGTTTATTATCGTAGCAAGGGTAGAAATGACAATCAAGGCTACAGTGTTTTTAAAATGTCGATTTCTCGGGTCAGAGTGAAGTAATTTTACTGAAATTTTAAGCATATTCCCTTACAAATACATTATCTATTTTTGAACTATTATACCGAGAACTGTCAGCTCTTTATATCGAAATCTTACATAATGTATCTTTAAATATAAGGAACTTTGTCTCTTAAATAGTATCTTATCTTAGGCCATATAAAAGGAATATTCTGGTTCTCTGATACTTCTATGTCTTATTACGGTAATTACCGCGGGTAGTAATGATGAATCCGGAAATTGATTGTAGGATCAATTATCAAATATGCAACCCTGATAAATGTTATTGACATTTATAAATGGATAATTATAAATTCAATAATGTAATGAGAAAATGTTGCGCCTTGAAACATAGTATGAGATGTCACTTAACTCAGTAATGATCCTTTGACAAAATAAAAACACAAAAATTAAAAGGTTCCTCCGACATTTAATTTCAGAGAGAGAGAGAGAGAGAGATATTTTAACATCCACTTGACACAAACTAGATCATTTCAGGACTAACATATGGTTCAATATTATTTCAATAATTCGTTTGGGCGTAGGGATCTTTAGCAATGGGAGAAAACCGGAGGACCCAGAGAAAACCCACGAGGTTGGACAGGTGACCATACTCCTTGTCACATAAAACCGGGGAATCGAAATCTCACCACTTGACTCAATGACAGACCTTATGATTTAATGCGCACAGGTGAACTATTCGGCCATCCAACTCCCAAATTGTCTGAGAACCATCATATTTTTTTTGTATGGCCTTATCATCTTTATGTGCAGAAGATTACTTTTCTCTAAGTTTTTTTCTGGATACTGGGGTTTATCTGTGTTGCAATATATTTCTATGGTTGAAATACATAATAAAAGGTAGCCACAGGGATTCAGTGAGTCACTAACCAGGAGGTCCCAGGTTCGATTGTTGGGGGGGGGGAGGGGTTGGATGGCCGAATGGTTAGCATGTGCGCTCTGTATCATAAGGCCTGTCATTGAGTCAACTGGCGTGGTGTCACCTGTCCAACTTCGTGGGTTTTCTCCGGGTCCTCTGGTTTCTTCCCACTGCTAAAGACCACTACACACAAGCGAATTATCGAAATAAAATTAAAAGCCAGATGTTAGTCCCGAAATGACCTAGTTTGTGTCAAGTGGACCTTAAACCCCATTTTAGTTTATCTCTCTGTCTCTCTCTCTCTCTCTCTCTCTCTCTCTCGATTGTTGGAATTTAACAATAAGTAGCCAGAAACAACAATCGCAGACTTTGGGTAGCAGAACTTTATAAATGTCCTACAAATGGAATCAGATTATCTGAATGGAATGATTCAATGGAATGAATTTCATGAAATGATACTATCTCAGTGGAATATCCAGACTTTATTAGTTTCCTATGAATGGAATGAGACTATCTTAAAGTTACAATTTCATATTTTCTAAGAAAGTCAAAACATAATTATTTCAATAGGTGGTCAACTCACTATTATACGATCATAGGTTATCTTTCTCACACTTAAACATATTGACACCGGAAATAATAACACAATTACCTCCCTTGTTTTCCTATTCCCCACCATGGAATAGCTATCTTCAAACAATGAATTTGAAGTTGAAAATGATATTTTTGCCAATTTCTAAACTGGCAATAGTGAATTATAGGATTAATAGGATTATTCTTTAACATGGTAGGACTGTTTATAGATACCATCTATTTTAAGGCTTTATTTTAATAAATGTTAAAATATAGGCCTAACTTAAAAATATGAAATTGCAACTTTAAGTAATAAGGACAAGCTTCTTAATCCGAATTAAAATTTTCAGTCCCACTCAAACGATAACGGAACCAGGTTTGAAAGACGTAGAGGTTTTTCTCATCTCGCACCATGTTTAGAATATCAGGACTTTAAAAAATTTCCTATGAATGGAATGAGACTATCTTGATGAAATATCAGGACTTTAAAAGTTTCATATGAATGAAATGAGACTCTCAATGGAATATCAGGACTTTAAAATTTTGATATGAATGAAATGAGACTCAATAGAATATCAGGACTTTAAAATTTTGATATGAATGAAATGAGACTCTCAATGGAATATCATGACTTTAAAAGTTTCCTATCAATGGAATGAGACTATCAATGAAATAAGACTATCCTAATGCAATATCAGGACTTTATTAAGTTTCCTAAGAATGGAATGATACTCAATGGAATAGCAGTACTTTATATATGACTATTATAAGTTTCCAATGAATGGGTTGATCCAATGGGTAAAGAAACATATGACATCTGAATTAGGTACTTGATTTCTTTCACTGAGTAAATGACAACTCACTAAATCATTTCTTTTATATGGCGCTTCAAGACATGATGTCTAGGGATTTAAATCCTATAAACTCATTCACATATCCTATCCACATGGTCTGTTCCTTGATAAAGAGTTTTATGATGAATGATTGCAGTAGAGATAAAAAAACATTAAATTCTCAATGAGCTAAGTCAGAAGGCTGATAGCAAAAAATCAATGGTGAAAGTATTTTTTAGTTAGCTGGGGCATGTCCCTAGAGGGGGCAGGGGATGGGGGGCATGTGGAGCTTATACATAAAGAAGAGACCCAGGAGAGAGCCTATACATTTAAAAGAGTAAACTTCCTTCAGATATGGCCTCACATGCAAGGAAATCAATTTCAAAATTTTTTAAGGGTGGGGGGGGAGGGGAGAGAGAAAGAGAACCCAATACCCCCTGTGAGGCTCGTCAGTCAGTCACATCGGAACTGCCCCCCACCCCCCGTACCCCGCTTATTTTTCTACACACACCCCTGGTTAGTTTTTTCCAGATCAATAAGACAAAAAGCCTAGATCGAGGGGGTGGCGAGGGGGTCTTTTGGGTTTTTCTTGTTTTTAAAACCATTGTGGTATAACATCCAAGTGTTTTGTTTATATTTGAAGAATTTAATGTGCTTTATTTCAGTGCTATGAAAACCATTCATGAAGTAATTGATGCACAGAAGAAATATTGGAAAAGTTTGAAATTTCAAGGTACATTTTACTACTTTTAAAATTTTGAGACCTTAGAATTACAGGGGTTCGTTCTGACATTAGCCCAGTCTGTGCAGAAAAGTAATCCTCATTTCATTTCGGACATTTTGGTAAAGATGGTCTGATTAAGATAAATTTTTTGCTGGGTTAGTCGTGAAAAAAATGAAATGGAGTTTAACGTCCTAATGTTCTGCTCCGACTGGGCTAATGAAGACGGGCATATGCATACAGTGTGCTATGAGGGAAATTTTACCTGGAAAGTGGCACTAAGGCCTACTTTATATCAAATTCCAATTGCCAAGGGATCTTTTACATGCATGCCAATGAATACATGAAACCTTGGTTTTTCGTCCCATTGGAACGACTAGACAGCTGTCCTAGTCGTGAAAAACAATGACTTATACACAGACCTTGCACTTAAGCAAGTTTTCAAATGGGTTGGGTCTTACCTAGGACTTGCCACAAAGACTAAATCGGTTCTAACTGGCTATGGTTAGGGTTTGAATTTAAAAAAACCTCTGGCCCAAAAATTGTTCACGGTAACTCTAGGGGCATGTACTTTAGTCCATAAGTTCTGCCATTGAGTCAAGTGCGTGGTTTCTATTCCCAGCTTGTACATGACAAGGAATATACTTGGTTAGGGTCGTCGGTCCAACCTCGTGGGTTTTCTCCGGATCCTCCAGTTTCATCAAACAGAGTTTTCGGTCACGAGGTTAAATAGGTGCAAACTGGTTGGATTAGGGTTAGTAACTGCTGTGGTTGAAACATCGTGGTTTCATCCTTGATTTCAGAAAATAACAGAATTTATAGAGAAATGTTACTTAATAATAAATATATTTCATTTATATAGTTTCAGTTCCAGATATTGAAGTCCAACAGATAACATCTAAAACTGAGTGAGTCATTTATCTATCTGTATAAATTTTAAAAGCCCATATTGTTTCTCCTCTCTCTGGCTGTCTATCGACAATCATGTCAAAGAGTTCTTGAGACTTTTTTTTAAAAATAAGTACAATAGTACTGTCTGCTAAACAGAGCATGGCGTTATCGCCACCATCTTGGAAGAACAACAATAACAACAAGATGATGATTAACGCGGGAATCCTTCAGCTAGTACTGAGGAGAAAAACGTATCAGAATCCAGAGTTTTGTAAAGATTTATCACAGAGTTACTGCCCCTGTCACTTAAATCGTGTAATCATGCCAATTTCTTTTCAAACTAGCTAGGATTGTTCAGCTAGTCCTAAAGATGTACCCATTATATGTTTCCTAGACCCCAGGGAACTTCAAAATCAACCTTTAAAATGCTAATGGTGGGCATGTATTTATTTCCTGACACTGCTATGTTCAAATCTTGTTTATCAGTCGCAATTACTTCTAGCATGTTGATGTTGGTTTCATTTAGGGTACCGTAAACAGATTCATAATCAAACATAACAAACACATGCATTTTCAAATGACACAGTTGTAGATTTAAGGGTTTATCAATTATGTAATTATGCAAATTCTCACCCGCCACACCCATTAATTTACATAATTTAGCATATCGATGATTTTTTCATTTAGAGTACACAGATTCATAATCACACACACTTGTAGGATCAAAGAATTCCACATCATTTATCATTTATGCAAATTCCCATCAACCTCAAACATTAATGTGCATAATTGGCTGTTCATTTAGGTCTTTCCATCCTATGTCAGTTATATTCCACTGATAATTACAATGTCAGTGATATGTCATGTTGGTGTCTTTCTGTCTGTCCTTCCTTTTGAAATTCAATTACTTTATTTCTAGTGAATAGATTTTAATATTACTTCATTATCACAGTCGATCATCCTAGTTAGAATTGTAACATGGATGGGAAATCTTCCTTTCTTCTTTTCGTTGAATAAGCAGATTGTTTTCCCTCTATTAGATTGGGTGGAGCTTAACCTTGCAATAACAAGACATGTTCAATGTTACTGCACTCTTTTGCTGGTTTACATTAGTTTTAGTAGAAATCATATAGAGAAGTGGGGTGGGTTTTCTGTGCAATAACAACGAGCATGTTGAGCAGGTGTCAATGTTACAAGTCATTTATAGCACGCTTCATTCGTTAACAGGTTTAACACCTTAGCCTACGGTCGCGATGTTTAAACCTGTTAACTCATGAAAGCCGTGCTATAAATATAACTTAGAACATCAATGCTATCTATGCCTTGCAAGAAACAGTGTCTAGTTATTCGGATGGGACTAAAAACTGAGGTCCTGTATGCATGTTGGTGCTCAATATTTACAAAGATACGTGGAATTGAAACATCATTGATCTATGCTTGTTGCTATGCAATATGCCCGCCACCATTTTGTTTTCAGTTAAAAACTATTGATAGGTCTTCTTTAGATCCAATTGAATCAAAGCCGGGATATTTATCTAGCGTTGATAATTTTTAGCTTGGATTTAAGCCTTGAGAAATTTGATATTTTAGCAAAAAGTGCAAATGTCACTTCAGGACTTAATTTTAGGATCATATAATTATTGTGATATAAAGACAGATATTAAAGAATCCCTGCGCAACACCAGTACAAAAGACTTACGTTTAAGTAGAGATTCTTTAATCATCATAATGTTTTGGGTATCCATACCCTTTATCGATACCCTTTAAAAAACATTAAAAAAATATATAATTTCGTTCAAAGTGACTTGTTATTTAAAACTACTTACAAATACATTTGTCCCTCAGGCTATGATATATGTTTATCATGTTTGTCACAGACAGATCTTTTTGCTTTCTTTTAAAAATGTATAAATTGTCTGACATGAAAGTCGAATTATGAAGTGAATGATTCCTGGAAAATAACAAAATGATTATGATGGATTGACACAGGATGTCTCCTTGCGTATAATTTTTAATTCCGACATGTCTAGCATATTGATACATCACTTGAATAACAACAAGCCGTTCTCTCGTTTATATCAGTTAAACAGCTAAAAGTCTTTTATTTCTTGTTGCAGGGGGTTAGGTGGCCGAATGGTTAACGTGTGCATGTTAAATCACATGTTCTGTCATTGAGTCAAGTGGCACTTGTACGCGACAAGGATTACGGTTGCCTGTCCAACTTCATGGGTTTATTCAGTTCTTCCAGTTTCCTCCCACAGCTAAAGACTCCTATGTGCAAGCAAATTATTGAAATAAAATTAAACCATGTGTTAGTCCCGAAATGACCCAGTTTGTGTCAATTGGACTTAAAACCCCATTTCTCTTTCTTTCTTATTTCTTAGATGATTTTGGGTGATTTTTACAAATTTTTAAACAAAGATTTGATACGCGGGTTACAGTGTTTCCTATGAGAGGGACTGAAAATTTTAATTCGATTATGAAGCTTGTCCTTATTACTTAAGTCCAGTCAGAAATGAAATGGGTTTTTACGTCCTACTTTTCTAAACCAACTGGGCTATGAAGACGAGCATTTGCCATGCAGTTCTATGAAAAAAAATTTGCTTGGACAGTTGTGCTGCAAGTTAATCTTATTTCGAATTCCAAGTGGATTTTGATTCCATTCCATTTTATTTCGGATTATGAAGGTGGCCCCTATCACTGAAGTCCAGTCCTGCAGCCTGCTCTTATTTCGAATTCCAAGGAGATTTTGATTCCATTCTAGCCATAATCATCGTAAGAATTCCTTCTGTAAGCCAATATTAATTGAAGTTTGACAGATGTAGATGAACCACCAGTTGAATCTATACCAACCAATATTCTAATTAACTCTTCAATTTCAATATGTCATCTATATATTAGTATTATATATTACTACCATCACTCCTGCTTATCTTTTGTTATATTTCACAATATCATCTTAATTAACATCCACTATATAATAAACATTCACCTTCCCTTGGACTGTTCTCTGCGGCTGGTCTTAAAAGTCTCATGCATGGATAAGTTGGGCTGCTAATATGTATAAGTGTAAGACAGGCCAGGTGAATTACATACTCTCTGTGGCTTCTCTGGCAAGCTTCTTAGGAAACACTTGTCTTCGATATGATATCACCCTAATATAACGACATGAATTATACATCTCAGTAATCTTAAAACCTAAGCCGTATGTAATCGACCCCATATAGGTAGAAATAATTGATGCAAACGTGTCATTGCAATAGTATTAGTTATCTCAGATTTGGTAAACAAGTTTTTATATTCAAATTGATATTTTGAAGTGCTCGAGAAAGTTCCTTGGGATAATAGAATGTGGTGGTGCAGGATGGAGAGCTTGGCTAGGAACAGTGTCTAGTCATTCGGATGGGATGAAAAGCCAAGGTCCTGTGTATATATTCCTGAAACATGGCATGTGGAATGGGCGTCCCCGCTAGAGATAAAGGGACATAATTTATAGGTGAGGTGGACCCACGTGACTTCATTGTTTACCTTATAGCACAGTTTTCCTGTACATTCATTACGAACTTGTGTGTTGACAAACGTTAGTTTTTGTGGTTAATATGGAATTTAATACCGATACGGTTCTCTTACCATCTATAAGGTGACATGGAACAAAGTTTTTACTAGCGACACCTGGTGGGAATTCTGCACACAGAGATCCATCTACTTCATACTTTGAGAATAGATCTCTGCCCTTAATGGCCACCATATCCAAAAATCAGTATTCTGTTTTGTAATGCGATTCTACTCCGTTTCAGGTCTGTCATACACACAAAGACTAAATAAACTTTTTTCAATTTATTACGTGGAAGCAGAATAAATACTTAACAAAAATTTTGAAGTATACTTAGTTTTTTGACTAAAATCGGCGATTTTGGACTTAAAATGTCGATCAACTAACTTAGTGTCTGTTCTCAAGCAGAGCTAACTGTAGACAGACAGTGTAAGTTTAGTATGGGGGAATTGCTGATGCAGAATAGGCATATGCATGTCTTCATTAGGCCGATTAGCGCAGACAATTAGGAAATTAAACCACGTTTTCATTGTCTTGATCAATAATATAGGTACTAAATAATTCATGCCAAAAGATCATAATACAGCACCTACATGTTCTGGCACATCGAGTCAACCTTTTAAACACACCTTAAAGATCGCAGCAGCAGGTAATTTAAACGAAAATAAATAAATGTCTTGCTGGGCTTTGATGAAAGAATAACAAAATGAAAGTAGTATATAATAAATCTACAATGATCTTAATGTCAGCGACCTGTTTGGTAATTGAGATGTTCTTCCATTTTATGGATTCTGTTACCTGGAATACAGGTGTACGCAATATACATGTAGTTATCTTGAATTAAGAATGCCAGCACAGCTGAGTGGGAATAAAGTCGATTTAATCTAACATGTGTTTACGTTTACTTGATTGAGCCCACTTGATTGGAAGCGGTTAAAGTTCAATGAGCGAGAGGGGATTTAACACATCTACTCGACACAAACTAGGTCATTTCGGGACAAACATATGTTTCAATTTTATTTCAATAATAAGCACATAGGGGTCTTTAATGTGTACGAGCTAACCATCCGGCAATCCAACCCCCACTTGATTAGAAGAGGTTAAAGTTCAATGAGTGATCTGGGGGGGCGGAGTTAACACATCTACTCAACACAAAATAGGTTATTGGGGACTAACATATTGTAAGTTTTATTTCAATAATTCTCTATAATTCTCGTGTGTGTAGAGGTCTTTAGCAGTATGAGGAAACCGGAGAAAACCCACAAGGTTTGTTCGGCAAAACAATCTGATTAAAACTCCGGTCCTATTTCGTTTCGTTTTTTTTATAGTTCAAAATTTTGTTTTACTTGTCTTTACCACACTAGTATCTGGAAGAGTTGTTATATAAGCCGCATACTGGATGATGTGAGGGATTAGCCAATGAAATGGTCTGTTGCAGCGTGTTCTTGGCAGGGGTATTCCACT